GCAGAATATGATGAAAATTTTATATTGATTCATGTTGTCAGATGGCATGGATTGTAGTTGCTCTTTCGCTGATTGTTATCTGGGTGGCTTCTTTATGCAAGATTTTCTTCGGAGCAACATTTAGTTCCAAAGCTGCAATTCTTGGTGATGGCAAGTAGCTCGAAGCGGTTTTTCACCAATCAATAACTTCTTTCTTATAATGCTTATATCTGTTCAAAATTTGATATCTCGTTGTCTTTGATTTCAGGTGAAACTCCTCAGAAGAAAAATGTGATGTTCGTTATCGCACATCCTGATGATGAGTCAATGTAAGATTTGAGAATGTATTGGAATAATGAAATGTTGAGATTAGTTTTCTTATGTTATGCTGAGAGATAAGTCTTTGACTTTCTTGACAGGTTCTTTTCTCCAACAATAAACTACTTAAGTTCCAATGCCTACAACCTTCACATATTATGCTTGTCCACTGGTAATATTCCTTATCATACTCTTTCTTTTCAAAGTTGGGATTTTGTAGAACCAACATTAGTCCTTTTGTGCCAAAACATATTTCTCCAAACAGTTACACTGATGTGGCCTGGGGAATCTCTAGTTTCATTGAATAAAAGAGAGTGCTACTCAAATGTAGTTTGGATTTCATATTGGACAATAAAGATGAATTTCATTGTTTCAGGTAACGCCGATGCTATGGGAAGCATTAGGAAAGACGAGCTGTATCGGGCATGTGCAGTGCTCAAGGTAATCTAATTTGACAAAGAAGGGATATGTGATCATGTTTCTTGTCACTGCAGTGAAGGACGTGTTTGCTAATAGTATATGTCAAACGTGATTCAGGTTCCACTTCAACAGTTAAAGATTCTGGACCATCCAAATTTGCAGGTTTAGTTCTTAGTCTCCCCAGAACATGTGTATCTAATTATTCACCATCTTATTTGACGGCACTAAAATTATTGTATTCTCTCAGGATGGTTTTGGACAAGTATGGAGCCACGATTTGTTAGCGAATATCATCGAAGAAGAAGTCACTACACACGATATCCACACGGTATGACTTGACTCCTAAAGCTAATTAAAGATACTCATCAGGATATACACTTAGAAATATGTCTGCATCTAATTTTCTGTGTGCTGCTTTCAGATCATAACATTTGATAATTATGGTGTTTCGGGTCATTGCAATCACCGTGACGTGCACCATGGAGTATTGTACGTTCAGACTTCTTCTAATCCCTGAGTCATGAAATTGCAAAATCATTCCTCATCACTGTGTTGTACATGCAGAAATTTCCTGCAGACTAATTCAGGAAGAAATATCAAAGCTTGGGAACTTGTAAATCTTTACTTTTATCTTTTTGGAACTAAAAAGTATCTTCATTCCCCTATCGACTGTGAACTCGCTTCAGCTAAATGATAAACACGATTTTGTACATTAGGTAAGCCTTAATATCTTTCGCAAGTACTGTGGATCTGTCGACATTTGGCTGTCAATTCTATCCACCAATAAAGATCTAAGCAAAGTAATCATCATAAACGAGCAGCCTCGGAAAAGCTTCATAGCAATGGCACAACATTTAAGCCAATGGGTTTGGTATGTCTCCTTCCCCAAATATGACCTTATGTTCTTATCTCTGACCATGATGAATGTGAAGCATGATAAGAACTGAAACATGAATCTCTGTTGTGTTCTCTTTCTGTGAATGTGCAGGTTTCGAAAGCTTTTTGTTTCATTTTCAAGTTATACATACGCAAATACACTTAATAGAATCAACCCTTGAGAGTGAGATTTTTGAGAGGGCCTCCTTGCTGGTGAACTCGATTGAATGGCTACAGAATTAGGTGAAACATTTTTGAACAACAGTTGCATCTTGTAATGTTTGGATATTTGAAAGAAGTAAAAATGTTATTTTTTGTGTAGAAGAGTAAATATACTTTCTAACAAATATTCACATTTGAACACACGATTTTTCTTCTTCTTTCCTTTTAGAATAAAAGAGACAAATGTACATATATTTTTTATTTAAGGGTAGTGAAATTCTCGCAAAAGTAAACAAAATGATTATTGGAATTACAATGTTGAAAACCTGAAATGTTCATCATGGTCTGCAGCAACTCTGCAATTCAAAATCTCTCATCTTAATTCAACATTTAGCTTCCTCTGCACCTCATCACGCACCTTACTCTGGATTTGGATAAAATCACCATTTTAGAACATCGCAAGTTTTCAACACTAACAAAATTATTATCCAAATGCAACCTTCCAATTACGATTTTACTTATGGTTATTTGGAAAGTATCAGTTTAGCTACAAGAGGTTTTTGACTTGTAAACAAAATTTGAATTGTGTTTTTTCTCAGCGGTAAATTTCTAGATCAATGAAAAAAGGAGAAGCACAAATGATTACCTGCAGGTCATTGACTTCCTCGTCCGTAAGAGAGCGCTCCATGGAACGGAACACAATTCTGTAACAGTGACTTGTCATCCCTTTCTTATTGGTGAAATTGTCGATTAACTTCACCTGCGAATCGATAAGAAAGGATATAAACAACCACTCTGAAGAACATGGTGATACAAGTAAAGTAAAGTTGAAAATTATATTCGATTCCAGTAAAGTTTGCATTCTCTCCCAAGTCCCAACCAAAAAAAAAAAAAAAAGACAAGGCATGTGTACCTCTTCAACAAGATCCCCAGCAATTCCTCTAACAACGTCACAAAAGTTATTCTCTGTGAATGAGTCACTGATCCAGAAACTGATGTCCTTGTAACAAGGAGGATACTACAGAACAAGATTTTGTTTGCCATCGTTAAAAATTACAAGACAAATGGGTCTCGAACTGAAATTCATTAGTCTATGAGAAATGGAAAAAATGTTTTACCTTTGAAAATGGCTTGAATTTGACTCCAAGCTCTCCTTTTCCAAACTGCACAAACATCAGATGCATTGACGTGAGAAAAAAAATTCAAATTTAGAGACGATTAATTTCATCATCCCAATTTTGTAAGTTTTCAACTAAGCAATCACCTGGGACGTAAACCGTTCATCGGATGACCAGAAAAGTCTTATATCAGGGATGTCAAACAAAACCATAGCAAGCCGCTCCAATCCAAGTCCAAAGGCCCAAGCAACATTATTGTCTAACCCACTCTGCTTCAAAATTACTTGCTCCGTCACCCCACAGCCCAAAACCTCCAACCAGTCTTCCTGAATCAGTAACCAAGATAAACCTTGTTAGATGAGAAACTGAATTTTATGTTAGATGCAAAATTGCTAGCCATAACACAACTCCAATATAAATGTCCAGCCTTTCCCACATGTAAATTTTGTGAATCAACAATATGTGATGATCAATCCACCAAAAAAACACATCTGTTTTTGGAAATACAGGTCACACAAGAATAGAAATGTCTCTTTAAAGCAAAGCAAACATAATTAATAAGAAAATACTACCTTAAAATATATCTCAAGCTCGAAAGATGGATTGGTAAATGGGAAATATGTATCAACCCATCTCATCTCCACAGCACCTGGCAGCCCAAAAAAAGTTCACATTAAAGAATCACAGACTTACAACTTTGTTCTATGTTAAATTGTTTAATCTAAACATCTGCATCTTCATTCCAAAAGTTGATGCTATAATCATCCTAAAAAACACACACTTTTACAAAAGGTAATTGTGAACTAGCTGAAGAATATACATAGTAGAAGAATACTTCTGTGGAATGGATCTTAATTTACCAAACAAGTGACGTGCCAATCCCTCGAGACATTTCTTTAAATCCTCAGCAGCATATAATGTGGAATCAATGCCAGAGTCATTCCAGTCCTCAGGAGAAAAGATACAGAAGCCTTCCATCTTTATAAGATTAAAAAAAGAACCATAAACATCTAGTATAAGAAAGACATGATGTCGAGCAAAACAACCAAAGTAAAAAAAAAACACAAGGAACTAGAGAATAGAACACCTGATGGAAAACCGGATAATGAGTAGCATCGATAGAATCTCTACGGTAAACATCCCCGGTTACAAGGAAACGCCTATGACCTTTCCTCAAGAGCTCAGCTTGGTGAGCACTTGTATGGCATCTCAAAACAGTTTGCGGGTCTACATAGTACGTGTCATTAAGGCTTCTGCTTACATGATCAGCCGGAACTAGCACATCATCAAAGTTCTGATACCAAAAGAATAACGAATCAAAGATACATTGATATTTCCAGAAAAAATATACAGTTTGTGTATGGAGAACTCACTTGCTTTGTGGAAACAATTGGGGAAAGGTCTTCGAACTTCTCAAACTTTTTAGCGTAATTGGAATCAAAATATTCGTATATACCATTCTTTATGATCCCAATCGGATGCTTATCCCTTCTATGTAGCTGCATTCCAAGTTTAGAGAAAATCGAGTCCGGTACATTGTTTGTAGGATCATCATCTCTCACCACATCTGCAAAATTCCTCCATTTGACAATCAAACACATCCAAACTTTACATTACAAACAACACTAAAGCATAAACAAATGTTAACAATCCTTCTCTTGTTTCACCATAACAGTTCATAATGAGCTTCCACTAAATCAAACGAGTTAAATCAAATCCAAAGACGATTCCATAAATCACAAGTACGAACCATTTCTAGCGATTGTGACGCCACCAATATCAACAGCAGAAACGATTGGGTAACGACGCTTCTTCATTTTGGGGAGAGGTGAAGAATAAACTGCGTTCGAGGAAAACGATGAAGCGAAAGAAAATCGTTTGAGTCCATTGCTAGAGAGAAGAACGACGGAAGCTCGGCTGAAGATAGTGGACTGAACTGAGAGAATGGTCATGGCGTCTCAAGTACCAATCCTTTGAAGAGTTAACAACAACTAACGATGGGCACCACCGATGGAGACGGAGGAGATAAGATTCCGATGACGAAAATCGCGGCGGCGACTGGCGGCTGCAAAGAGAAGGGGAAGAAATTCGCCGATTAGTGGAGTGGTGACGTGTCGTAAGTAGCAGTAGGGTTGAAATTAGATTTGGATTGAATCCGATGACTTTGACTATAAAGCCAAAATTATGGGTGGTAAATATAGGTAAATATAAGAGATTTTTAATACTATAAAATTTTTATATTTATCCTTTGTTTTAAAACGCGGGCGAGTTGATGATTTTACAGTCGAGAACACGTTCGGCGGTGGTAACCGTGGGGAGTTGGTGCTGACCGCCGAGACCGTGTTTTATCAAAAACCGACGATTAATAAGCATATCCGGCGAACCCAATTTTTACGAGTTTTGTTTTTGTTTTCACATCGTTTGTTCCTATCACAAGCTTGAATCGTACCAGAAAGAGAGACGCACGAATCTACAGAGCAAGAATCATATGAATAAGAATCGAGTTCGTCCGAAAATTGAGATTTTAGTAATTTCAGGTTCGAATTTGGGAGAGAGAGAACAGAGAGGGAGAAAGGTTGACGGAGTTTTCAATGTCTCGTGTTTCATTTTTTTTTTTACATTTACCAAAAAAAAAAATGAATGCATATGGAAACCGTTTTGTTATGTCAACATTTCTTAACTTTAAGAAAAATCTATAATCAATCAATTTTGGTGAGGAAAGAGACCAAAAAAAGAAAATAAACTATGTATAACTCCCTAAGTTCTATGAAATATTTACT